AACTGTTCGAACGGTTAGTTACTTTATGATTATATCTAAAAGTAATATTTATTAGAATGTAAAATTATTTTTATATACAAAAATATTGTAGGCTTAATATTCAATTGAAGAGTAAAATGATCGTTCAAATTTTTTACATTTAGTTCTATCGACTGACTATTATAAGTTTCTTACTTTGTATAATAGTAATTAAATAAATAGTGGATAAATTTCTTATTTTATCTTTTTTAAATAATTCCTTTTTCACCATCTTCTCTAGATAGGTTGATTAGTATTATTCTCATAAATAACCGACCGGTATAGTTCTGAGCTATTTCTTTACTTATTTGCTGTAAATTGTATGAACTACAGTTGGTTATTTGTGTTGGACCCGCCCTATGTACCAACTCGTCACTGCTTTCAACTTAAGGTTAGGTTTGTTATTTTTTGAGTACATGGGGTTGGTTGTACTCATACTGCACTTCTTGCACGGTAGCCTTGGATTATAAAATACTTGGGTCCCTGCTGCAGCTGCCTCTTGTTCACAGTAGCCTTAGATTATAAAATTCTATTTATGTACTTTCAAACAAAAGATGCATTTTCTTCATATCTTCTTTGTAAACTCCATTCTTAGAAGCTCATGATTTGTACTATCAGTCCTTGGGAAATGTAATAGATACAGATAATTTAGATTTTTTAATTGACTTATTAGCAATATCGGATTTGGTAGTTATTAGTTTGCTTACCTAGCGGGTTGGGTTAGGTGCCACCACGACTAGTGGATTTTGGGTCGTGACACTTGGTATTTTTAGATAGCTTTAATTTTTCGACTCCGATCCCTTCGCTAATGAGAGTGCCGATACCGGTATCACTTCGTCGACTGCAAACATCTCCTTGGTGGCAGGTTGTTCCCCGTACACCATTTTTACTCCCTCCGGTGTCGGGAACTTCAGAACTTGGTGAAGGGTCGAAGGTACTGCCCTCATGTTATGGATCCAAGGCCTTTCGAGCAGGGTGTTGTACCTCATGTCACCTTCAATCACATCGAACTTTGTTTCTTGAACGGTTCCGGCTACGTTTACTGGCAAGATAATTTCACCTTTGGTAGTTTCACTTGCCATGTTGAAGCCGCTAAGAACCCAAGCTGTAGGCACAATCTGATCCTGTAGGCTGAGCTGCTCTACGACCCTCGATCGAATAATGTTGGTCGAGCTACCTGGATCAAGCAAAACACGTTTAACTTGAATTTTATTCATAAGAACAGATATTACCAGTGCGTCGTTGTGGGGTTGTGAGATCCCCTCTGCATCCTCGTCATTGAAAGACAAGGTCTCTTCCGGTACATAGTCCCGAGTTCGTTTTTCCCTCGTGATCGACACTTTTGTGCGCTTGAATACGGGTCCCTATGGAATGTCGACCCCACCACGATCAAGTGAATCAGGTGTTGTAGTTCTTCCTTTCCATACTTCCTGTTTGCATCCCTGTCTCTGAAGTGGTTCTTAGCTCGGTCGCTCAAGAATTCCTGAAGATGATTCTCGTTAAACAAACGGGCTACCTCCTCCCTTAGCTGTCTGCAGCCTTCTGTTCTATGACCATGAGTACCATGGTATTTGCACATTTGGTTAGGATTCCTCTGGGTCGGATCGGTATGTAGTGGTCGAGGGCACCTGGTATCTTGGATCCGCCCAATGGCCGATACAATGGCTGATGCATCAACGTTGAAATTGTATTCTGATAGTCGTGGAGCTTCTGTGGGCTCGACATTTCTATCGAAACCACTCTTACTCATGAGCCCTCGGGAGCTCTATCCTTGATCACTTCTTTGATTACTTCGAACGAGGTTGCGTCCTGGATCGCTATTTCTCTGATCTCCACCGTATGGTTGATACCGATCTCTGTTCGATCATGGTTCCCTGTCGATGTCTCTTTGAGTTCTGCCGACGGGTCTGTTTGGATAAACGGAACCGGAAGGAGTTCCCAACTGATCATCCTCGACCCTGATCTTTGACTGGTCCGATTATGCACATCGGCCCAGGTCACAGTTGGATATTCGATTAAATTTTGCTTTAACTGTCGTGACGCCATCCAACTTCGTATGTTCAGCCCTTGAGTAAAACCTTCTTCAATAAAACAGACTCAATCTCATCATCCTCTAAATCGTTCCCCTTTATTGCGCATGTGTAAGAAGTGACATGCTTATTGGGGTCGGTGGTTCCATTATACTTAGGAATTTCTGGCATGCGGAATTTCTTTGGGATGGGCATAGGAGCCGCACTTTGGGGGGGG